TTGAAATGTCTGGTGAGGTTAGGGGTGTTTATGATCCATGCAACACTTTTACTCCGTAATCTCCAAAAGAGCCCAGCCGCTGACACGCTCGGAGACTAGAACCGGGGCTGTTTCCCTCATAGCATTTCGTTGAAACTTAGAAGGGATACACAAAGTCAGCTAAAATTGACAATGAGGACAAGATGAAATCTCTGAATGGAAGATAGCGGTGGACAGGCCAAGAGTCATTTACCCTTTACCCATTCCATGCTTTTCGTAATACCCGATCTGAAGTAACGGAGTTGGGGTTTCTGATTTGGGAACTCGTTTTGATAGTATGCTGGTATCGGATCTAGGAGAAAGTCAAAATGTTGGTATGCATAAATGTAAGAAAAAATACAGGAAAATTCATCGTATTCTCAAAGAACACAAATAGTTCCGAATGATACCTAGGTATTACTTCATTTGGACCTTGGTACTACCAAAAGCTTCCAGGGTCAAGGGGCTTGTATTGAGAGGGTGGGTTGAATGTGTGCCATTGTGTGGAGAGGTAAATCCACGATAGTGCGGAACTAGATGTGCATCCATCTCGAAGACTCGAACTATTCTTCGGATCTGGATTTCATTAAATTGTTTTTACAAGGAGCGTCGATGCATTCTGCAAATCATCGTCACTCGGCGTTGTAGGGAGATCAATGAAGGAAGAGTGCAACCATAGGAAGCATGTCAACCACTGTCAACTTTTCTTTAATTATGTACGGAACATATTCATCGCCTGAAGAAAACAACAAGTAATCTTCACTCGAGCCATAGGTAGTCAGGAGCCAGGGCGTATGTGGTCTTAGTTTTACAACTTAGGCTCGTCACGCTCCTTAGAGGCAATTCGAATTTATTGGTGTGGCTGCATACTAACGTTTGATAATGCAATACTGTACTATCGAACAAACTGGCTATGAAGCTCGCCGATTCGCGCGAGTCGTCAGAACCAAATATGGACTATCGGTCGCATTTGACAGGTTTGTCAGGGTATTAAGCGGCGGTACCCGCCAACTGTTAGCTCATAGCAGCTTTCAAGACCAATCCTTAGGTGAATTGACTTATAGAATGATGAGTTTTGTAGTTTCTGTAGTTAGTGGATCAGGAAAAAGCAGGAAAATACCTTGTTCAATGGATATGCGAGAAACCTTTGATATGCACAACAAACTCTATTGATGAACTTTCCAAATTCCAATTCACCCCCGACGAACGAAAGAAAGCCCACTTTCCATATTATATCAATATAGCCAATCCACGCATGGTAGATCCCAAGAATAATTACCGAATAAATGGGTCATTATTCTTTGTTTGCTGAAGGCTCTCGCAATTGCTTCCGAATCTTGCTACATTCCCCAAAATGATCCAAATCTCACCGGGATTGGTCCATCATGATATACTTCCACTCTAGAGCCTTCCTTTATCGAGCCACAATGAGCATTGTCTCTCTTGAGATTTGACACTATTAGTCCTAGTATGATAATGTCCTATGGGTGTGCAATATGGTTTAGCGGACCAAGATAACCACCGACGTTCAGTAGAATATGGACTAGGTAGGACATCAGAATAGAAACGATGGCGCCAGAAGAACAAGGATACTAGGATACCAGGTACATAGTAAGGCATGCTAGGGCTGTAGATGGAGCTGGAGCTGACAGGCATTCATTTTGATCCGGGTTGCCAATGCCCAGGGGGTGGAGCTGCTGGTTGGTGTCGTCGCATGCCTCCAGGAAGATTTGTTGATCCCTTTGTATAGATTATACTTCCTGAAGAAACCTTACCATCTTCCTTGCCACACATCTTAAATCGTTCTCGAAAGAACCAACGTCAATCAACAATTGTTTAGACTTGTCATACTTCTATCCATCTTTTCTCTCTCATTTCTTAACGATCATTTTCTTGGCCACAAACTCGCTGTTGAAGAATTGTAATCATCGTTTATAACTTCCGATATCTCAACGTCCAACCCTAAAAAGATAGGATTTCTAGACTGTCCTTCTGTGGCGTGCATTCCTCTTCTCTCATTCGTCATCAGGGCTATTCAACTCCCACGGGCTGCTTATCCCCCCAAGAAGCATTGTTTCTCTCCGCTTGGAATTACCTGGCACAAGTAGTCAGTTCTCTCTACCACACCTCAAGCCACAGATTCCCTTCGATTCACCTATCCTCCTGCATATTACATACTTGAAGATCAATAATAATGGGCTCGTGAAGTCCCTGAAATCGATGCGCAACTGGAGTTAATGCGTTTTCTTGCCGCTCGACTGTCCCCAGACCAACTTTCGACGCCAATAAAAAGTGCCGCAGCCTGCTTAATTCGACATCATCAAACACGATTCCGTTGTCAGCTCGCTCCTTCGGATTCAATCCACCTTTGAGGTATCTTTTTACCAAATTTGAAAAGCATCAAGTAGTGAATATTTGTATAATTATTCCCTGGTCTTCAGACATAAAAATTTTCCTTCTTGGTATCAATTATCGTCGAAGTCGTGCAAAAGTTTAGTTTTGGCGACAAACAGTTATTTTTTTTTGTGAGGGAAGATATTCACTGGCACTCGACATTATACGCGAACATAGCCTCGATTGATGGCAGTCTCTGTTCAAGGTCCATTCAGCTCCAAGTCCAGTTCCTGGAGTATGGCCGATTTACCACATCACAACTTCTCAAGAAGAAATCCAAATCAGATATCCCCAATGGCCTACCCGTATCATACCATGAATCAAGGTCTCGACCAAAATATGATGCCCAGTTACGATCATCATATGGAACCAATTCGATCTCACTCACCTTTACATGGACAAGGGCCATCTCCATCTGCCCGGGAACTTGATGCTTCTTCCTTATCAAAAGCGACAAAAGAATCCAAAGCAAAACGATCAATGTCTACTCCAAATATCAGAACCTCTAACAATACTGATGTGGCTGCCTTGGCCTTGGTCAATGATAAGAGAAGAAACAAATTAGGTTATCATAGAACGTCGGTAGCATGTGGTAAGATTTATTCTCGTCCATCGAAGACAGATGCGATCTATCTTTTAAGACGAAGTGAAACATTAATGGATATGCTAACTTATCGTCATAGGTCACTGTCGTCGACGCAAGATCAGATGTATACCGGCTCCAGCAGATCCTCAAAATCGATGCTCAAATTGCATTAGATTAAAAAAGGAATGCAATTTCTATCCGGTCGACCAACAACCTCAGCCAGAACCTAAGCGTCGAGGCTCCAAAGCCCCAAGTGGAACTGGAGGAACCTCTCAATCATCTTCACCGTCAATTCCATCTAGCCAGATACCCGACATGCAGCCTAATCTTCCTTACCATCTAAGCATGCCATCAATCCAGAACCTCGGAGGATCTCAGGTCAAAAAAGAAAGAAACGAAAGCTTTTCTCCCGATAACAAGGGTATGTAATTTGACTTCCATGTATTTTCATACTAACGGCTCTCCAGTCGTCACTTCATCACGTAACTTTGACTATAATGGTGGTCAAACAGCTTGGATGGCACCAGAAGTCTCTCCAGGTACCAAACCTCCAGCAGACATGTCTGGAAATTACTGGCCTGCCTCCCAAGAATCTCCAATGACTCCAGGGTTCTCACCTTACACGACCCCTAACATGCACCTGGCCAATGCGCAAAACTGGCAAAGCAGAGGCCATCATGGTCAGCCAGAAACGAATCCAAGAGAGCCGGAATGGTCAGCACCACAGCGATCTGTTTCGTATAGCAACTTGGAAGGAATGCAGAACAGCCATCAACATTCCGCTTATGGGCTTCCCAACCCGTCGGATTCATACGCTCCTGCGAGAACCCGTGCTTCTAACGGTGCAATATATCCGCCAAACATCACAACTGCACATCCACATTCTGCTGCCGAAATCTCGTCCGCGTCAACAATTGGAACAGCTTACACACATTCTGCAACTCCAATGTCGGCGGGACCTTACTCGGGCTGGAATCAACCGTATACTGGCGGTTATGCGAAAGTCTCACCTGGAGTTGATACATATGCTTCTTGGAATGGTGCTCAAGGAGGACAGCGCATTGTAGAAGAAGAAGAAAGTGTGGGAGGATATGGCGGATTCAATAGTTCTGGAGGCGGGGTCTATTATGCTGGCCAGCCACATGCAGCAGGCCGTTAGCGGAACAAGGAATACATTTCAATCGAACAACAGCACATCGCGGATCACGGTTACGTTTCTGGATTATTGGCGCATGGAATTGGTTATTATTCCGGCATATGTTGACTGTTCGATACAACAGATTTCGCGATTGGGGTAAAATCTGGGCGGGGAAAAGCGAAAGCGATAAGGGCTTCTCGCCAGGCGCGATTATAAATGTAACCTCGCTCGAAGTCCTGAATGAACAGGACGGAAAGCGCCTTTTTGTATATACTGGACACAGAAAGATTGGGAATTTCTTTACACGGAACATTGGGGTCATCATCATGCGAAACGATATTAAATGGACTGGTTTGGCGACTGGTCTTTACTATAATTCTTTTTAGGAGGAAAAAGACAGCGATTTTCTTTTCTTTATCATTTGGGGGGGGGGGTTTGATATCTTAAAGTGGGATACATCTAAGTAATCTCATGACGGCGGGGGATTTTCCATGGACACCTCATTAGACAAATGAACAGTACGGAAGAGATATTACCAGAAAAAGCAGGGATTAAGTAGGTAGATTGCTTCACTCCTGGCCAATTGGTATAAATGTAGCGATACATGGACAGGATTCAATCTATCACTCACTGGTTTTATTCATTCAAAAAGACGAGAAGATTCAAAGACTGAGTGTCAGATTTGTATATATATGGATATATGTGAAGTCATTGAAATGAGATACATACCTGAGTATTGGTGGCGAGCAATTGATGTTGTATATGCCTCAGGCATCTAGCTTGGACCATGAGTGATGTCGTGCTCTAAACTCATCATCATTCGCTATGAACTTCTACAACAAACATATCATTTAATGTAATACGGACAAAGCCCTCAACAAAGCCCCCTGTACCCCGTATAATTACCTGCTTCGTATTTTACCTAGGTACTTACGGGATGTCTACTCATGGATTGAGCCGATTCGTCGGTATGTTCGAGGTATTTCTCCAGTCTCATCTACCTCTACTAGTGCTAGAGTATTTCTATACTATGTACAACTTCCATTATCACCATGAATACTCTGCTGAATGTTCTGGAGCCACATCCGGAAGATAGATTACATTTGCGCCTACATAGAGCGAGATCCGTTATTTTAACGGCGCAAGAGTTCGTCCCTCTTATTTCCCCTTCTGGCCTTGAAATGAGCAACAAGTAGTGCGGGATTCTGTATATGTATACACTGGCTGACATGTTTTGAAAATGATACAGACTTGTGGAAATTCGAGCCGCACAAAGAACCTTCGAGGGAGCATATATAAGGACTGCTTTGGGACAATTCAGTTTCGCTTTGGTAGTGTTAAAGATCTTTACGGCCGAATTCTACAGTATTGGAGCCTTATTCGCGACATATGGAGCCGGCATTCTAATGGTCAGCCTGTATAGGAGGTATGAGGGCAACAGGCAATTCTTCAGCGAAATAGATGGGGACGGCATGGGAAGGAAGAAATTTAGGACCAGTGGGAATGCTGTGGTTGTTTTGACGACACTGAGTCTTGTGGCTTATGTTTTACTGATTGGATTGACCATAAGGCTCGAGACCTGAAATCCATGATTGAGCTGACTACATTTGCGGCATAATGAATGGAACATATATCTCACGCGGCACAGGGCCATTTTGGGGTCTAGAGACGAGATGATCGATCTTATGGCTCGGATCGGTTGACACAGAAAGTCAAGGGAAGCAAAAAGGGCCATCGAAATTCGGCATTGATTGGAACCAGTTTTCAGAAACAAAATGTGATGCGGCATACCTTTTCAATTCAATTCTATATGAGGTTCGCGACAGTTACTTTTTCAAAACTTCGAGAAGTTGATCATCTCCACTACCTACCTAAGACTCTCCGTGATGGATGTATTGGAGGTAAATCCGCCGGATGTCTTATTGCGAATGCGATCAAACAAGCAAACAAAATCATTCACTTTTTGATCATCATAATACCATGTACGGAAGCAAGCAAGCTTATCTAGCGGATTTCTGAGGATTTTCGATCTGATAAGCATCATCCCAAATTAGCTTGCCTACACATGTTTCCCTCAGGTCCAGGGAACATATGTCGAGAGTGGCATTCCTGGCGATCATAATTAGAGAATGATTCTGCAACATACTACACGTAATCTCAATGCATGAAGCCGTTAACCATGGTCTAAAGCCTTGGTTCCAGTCGGAACGCGTCCATTGTTGACCACTAGTGGCGGGATACCAGTCACTGGACTTTCTCTTTGACCGCTGAAATAGGGATATTTTAAGAGAAACTCTCCAAGAACAAAACGCGTCAGCATCTAGCAGGTTTCCCTTTGGATTAGGAGGGGTTGAAGTGATAGTCACATCGTCCACACTTAATACCTGATTCGATCGACTGCAAGATTGTTGTTCCTGGATCATTTTAGTTGGGGGGGGGGGGGGGGGGGGAGCTAGGTTAGATAGCGCCCACACGAATTTGGACGATGCTGATATCCGACCGCACTAAGAATGAATTGAAGCTCGCATCCATGATAATATCGGCTACGATTACATATCTTTTCTGAATCATCGTTAGACAATTATTTCTTTCTCGTCCCGCATCTCTTTTAGGGTGTTCTTTGGCCAGGTTGCGATCTTGCAACAGTTCTCTTCAAGACTCTTTTCGTCCACTTCCCAATCACTTGGTTTTTATAAAAGCGGAGGACCGCAAATCTTAGTGAGACGCCAAAATTGGGACTTGAACTAATTTTGTTTCATCCTGATTGATACCTGCAGTCATGTACGAATTAAGATAGATGGATGCCAGGGCCGTTTTGACGTAATCCCCGTGTTGGGTACTGCAACATGTCTCATAGTGTCATTTTCCGAGGTGACAAAATTGGCAGCCATCACAAATTTAGAACACCACAGTTGCTTCAAAAACACGAGGCTACTGTGCGCCGCTAACGCACGATAACTCCTAGGAATTTTACACATAGCTCGTTCAAGTCACTCCAAAGATACTGGGACACATAAACACGAGTCATTTCGTTCATGTTGACGATTCACGATCATAAGTGATGCCAGCATGGACTGGGAAAAGTGAGGAACATTGACATCGTCTGCATGGTGCATGGAATGCCGGCTTCATGCAAGTTTCAATGCATATCAATCGATTTGCGCTGGATTGGGAGTGCTCGGATTCTCCTGTCATGTCGCTGCAGTAGCAATCTCCAATAGCATGCATATCTACAGTGGTTGTCCATCCAGGAAAGTTGCTTTACAGGCAGCTCAACATCAATAACAGCATTATAAGATTCAATCGAATATATTACTCAACTTAGTACATTAGGACTTCCTGTTCATAATAGCACTTTTCGGTTCGCTCGCTACAACTATGGGCAGCGTGTTCGCATCTGCTGGGTCTAGCAAGATATATATCTAGTCAGTTCTAGTCATGATGGACTCTATATCAATAATTTAAGTTCATGGTCGTATTCAATATTTAACGCGATTGGAGCTGCGCATCGTATTTCTATTCCATCTTCTCACTTAGTGATCGATTGAAATACTTTCAGCAGTCAATCTGCGGCCTTTCCTGGCCAACCACCTGTGCCTTGCATGATTGTTACACAGCAGAAGTGACAATTGACCGTCAGGTCGACTTTCTCGCAGATTGCACCCTGGCTGCATGATTTCCCTCTCCCGTAGTTGTCTACAATGCATATTAGCCATCCAGAATTGTTCCGATACCATCAGTCCCCGACTCATTCGCCGAAAGTGTATCATGCAGGCCAAGTGCCGACAGGAGCAGTTCTTCATATAGCACCGACTTCGGCATTCGATTCAGCAGTTTTCACACTATATCAAATGCTTCATACTTTCCTTTGGAGAAATACCCGTAGTGAAGGTTTTTCCTCGTGTTCGAAATTCGAATTACAAGGTTACTAAATTCAACACAGCAACAGAGAAGAAAATTTGTTCAAGCAGGGTGAGTATGTCAAGATTCAGTCAGGGTAGAGTTGGTGTATGACTTTGAAACTAAATGTATTACAGTGAAAGATGCCACTCCAGGTGCCTACAGCATTGCCTCTCAGATGAGCAGAATCCCTTCCATAGACCGATGCCCTGTGATTCTATCCAAGGTTTGGGAGATGTCAGTCCTCTCAACATTCAAATACTGTATAAGCGTGGAGATTCTACAACCACCTGGACTACGTACTGAAAGTCTTACGGCAGTACCCTGAATCCCCTGCGAAGGTCTTGTGGTAGAGTCTGATCACTCAATGCCTAGGTATCTTGAGTATGCATACTTCCATATAGACTGACCTGTGCTCCACGAGATCATTCCATAGAAGCTACTTGAAGATAGGCAACCGATTATGGCTCGTCTGAAGGAGGTTGTAAGATTGGGGTGAGCATAGGTCTTGGTTACTGATTGCAGAGACAGAGGTAATATTACCAGTCGGAGAGCACGCCAGATCATCCGCGCCGCCATTTATGGCGATAATTGAGACCATGTCACTCAAATAGTTGGTACTTGTTATCAGCATATCAGGCGAACTGAACAAATGGACATGGCCAGCACGGGTTTTGGTCAACGCGGCGAGTCTTTCACCATACCTATCTCGATTGCTCCAATTTCTTTGGCATTGCTTCACCGGTAATGGGTTCACAGAGACAGGCAAATCAAAGTTCAACAAAGTCGGATAACTTGACAAATTTGAAAGAAGTGCTCACATTGTAGCACTCTAGTTCCGACAATGATACCTATCTCAAATTTCTTGGGCCTCACTTATACACGTGATTGACATCGACACAAATTCAATATTGCAACACAAAACTTCTGCAAGCTTGAGGCGCGTAACATCCAAACTTAATTTACTCTTGGCTGTCACGACATATCTTCTTCTTTTTAAGTTCCGAGAGGTTCTTCGTATACAATATTAATATATAACTCGGGGACCTTATAACATGGTCGCCGACCTCCCACGAGGTACCAGCCAACTTCAACCAATCAATATCATTCAGCTCCGAATTGACGCTTGTCGCAAGCGCTTGCTCTGCGGCGGGAGGTTATTGAGCTCGACTATAGCAGCATCGGAGTGAGCATTTTCCCCACTAATAAGCGCTTGTCCTTGAATTAACGAACAGCAAACAAACACAGGAACAACGATACATTGGTACTTACTCAATGATACTGTGAGCCTCAATTCGTCTATCCCTCCCACCTGTATACCCTTGTATCACGCTATCGATTACCAACCCAACAAGGCTGAAGATTTCATCATCATTAATCTGCCCCTTGGCTCAACATCCATTACGATATCGGCACTGCATGCAAGCTGAGATATTTCTGAAACGCCATCAATCACCGTCTAATAATACACGGGTTAAAATATGTTCTTCATCTTTGTGGAACTTACGCTCGAAGAGGCGTACTGATCATCAATTAAGGTGCTTTTTAGTGTGTAATATTGACGTTTCGAAATCGTCACACGTCCAATCTATATCTCGATCCTCGAGATCAATAGTCTGCTCAAGGGTCTATAGTCACCAAGAATTACTCAACGACTAGGGTAGTGAATTTCGAATCGATCACGACGTTCACTGAATATACTCAAGGTGCCATTAGTCAATAGCATTATCACAACTGAGTTGGATCGTTATTTCTCTCAGCTGAGCAGATGTATTGCGCTCGGTTTGTTGAAACTGTTCGCAAGATTAACAAATGGAAGAGGGGAAAATGGAATGTCACCCGTTGAAAACTCCAGATCTTCAGGTTGGAGTACGAGATCGCGGTCTGTCCAATATTGATTGAGCTGGTCCACACTACAGTTGGTACTCGCAGGAAACAAGTCAATTCGACAAATGGTAATGAGTGATGGGCGCCGCCTAGAAATTTTGTGGTAGCGGGTATATCCGCTAAGGAAACCACTTTGTGATAGGCACCATCCAGAGCTGGTGCACAGCCATTTCATGATCGGGCGACTTCCTGTTTTGGATATCCATTGCTACCGGTTCTATTATCACACGGCACGTCAGCGTTTTCTTCTCATCTTGATCATGGGCTTGTTCCCTTTAAGTACAGTAAGCATTTAAAATTCTACTAAAGACAATCCCTGGCCGCTTACAGGTTGAAAACGATGGAATCAAACAGCAAGTTAGATGACTAATACTAGCCCTACAGGCTTGCTTCAGAAGCTTCGAGAGACGTTGAATCTACTTGGATTCAACATGGCCAACATTCTCTCTTTCCGGCAATCATCTTGAAAATTTACGGCTGTGCCTCCAAGTTAAGGTATCGCCAATAGCAGCTTACTTAGAGCTCTATCAGGTCACAGGCTACTATTAGCCTGAGCGCTTTTTTCCTTTTAACCCGTCTTGCTCCGAGTCCTTTGAACTTGTACATATAGAAATGGGCAGTCATCTTCGGTTGTTTCTTGTAACTATCTCTATATAAAACCGAATTCTCAAATTTAAACACTATGGCATATAACCGACAGGTCGAGGCCTTCAGAGAAGAAGAGTACCCTATGATGAAAGGTGAGTTTACACAAAGATTTCGAGCTTACAGAATCTCCAATCGCTAAATTACAACAGGGAAAACATATCTTGACCATGCGGGCACAAGTAAGACTTCAAAATATCACTCCCATTATCCCTTTTGATTTAAAGTTATGATTTCTGATATTCGGGCCTTACTTCTCTTCAGAAAGCTAGACTTATACTTCTGGTCCTGAAAAATAATCTACATTACGGAGCGCTGATCATGAAACTTGTAGCTATATATGCGAAGTCTCTAATTGACAAATTTTCCAAAGAGATGGTGGAAAACCTCTTTGGAAACCCACACTCGGCATCAGCCCCAGCGCAACTTTCGGGGCATGTCGTCGACTCAGTGCGTGAAAAGGCATTGAGATTTCTTGGGGCCGATCCTGCTCATTTTGACCTTGTCTTCACTGCAAATGCTACCGCAGCGATCAAATTGGTCGCAGAAAGTTTTAGAGATTTAGCGCTAGAGAGTTCGACGTCGGGATCGTTTTGGTACGGCTATCATAAAGATGCTCATACGAGTCTCGTTGGTCCGCGAGAACATACCAATGGTCAGCATCACTGCTTCACAAGCGACCAAGAAGTAGAAGACTGGTTACTTGGCTACAGATCTCTTCCAGGAAGAAGGGAAGATGATGAAACACCAGGTGTTCTTGCATTTCCGGGGCAATCAAATATGACTGGTCGTCGACTACCTCTCTCCTGGAGTAAAAAACTACGGAGATCGACTCGCATTTCACATCAAAATACCTATTCTCTCTTAGACGCAGCAGGTCTCGCGACAACAACTCAGCTTGACTTCAGTGATCCCGACGCGTCTCCTGATTTTACCGTCCTTTCGTTTTACAAAATATTTGGCTTCCCCGATCTAGGAGCTCTGATAGTTCGCAGGAAATCGGCACATATCCTAACTTGGCGTAAGTACTTTGGCGGCGGTACTGTATCGTCTCTAACTGTAATACATGAGGCATCTTACCACCGGAAAGATGCCACGATTCATGACGGATTAGAGGATGGTACATTACCATTTCATTCGATTATTGCACTGGGGTGTGCCATTGATGTGCACCATGATCTTTATGGCTCAATGACCAACATATCCAAGCATACGATGTTCCTCACTCGGCGCCTCTACGAAGGCCTATCAGACATTCGCCACTCTAATGGTCGGCCTGTTTGCGAAATATACCATGACGCAACTAATATCCGCCCTTATACAGACGCCGCCACCCAGGGTGCTACTGTAGCATTCAATATTCTACGGTCGGACGGTAGTTACGTGTCGTATTCAACAGTAGAACAACTAGCCAACCGGAAGGACATATACGTAAGAGCTGGTGGGCTTTGCAACCCTGGAGGCATTGCAAGTTATCTCAAAGTAGCACCTTGGCACTTCAAGCGAGCTTGGTCAGCCGGTCATCGCTGTAGCGAATCTGACAACACGGAGATAATCAATGGAAAGCCTACGGGTGTGGTGCGAGCCAGTCTGGGAGCCATGTCGATCCTTTCCGATGTCGATACATTCCTTGCATTTATGCTGGAAACATTTGTTGAAGACATAGGGCAAACTGTTATCATTACGGCGCAGCCGCGGGAAAAATTGCCAATAGTCAGAAGTGAGGGGGGTGTTGGTCCGGTTGTCATAAAAGTACCCGGAAATTGGCCTATTAGAGAGCTCTTTCCCATCAACACGGGATTGAAACAGAACCCGAGGGAACAGCCGCTAAGACGGTATGAGATGTACGATTATGAGATTGATCGAGAGAGACCACGGACAAGCCATTCGACAACTTACCATTCCCCGGTTCATCATCTTTCAACCGGATCAAATGATAGTGCGATAGTGATGTCCGCAACAGGATTGAAATATTGGGATAATATTAATAAAAGAGGGGACAACGAAACTTGGCCCGAAAAATGGAAAAGAAGACATTCGAATGAAAACGAAAAGGCGAAATCAAAATTGGAGTCATGGCCGACGGAAGAAAAGGGAAAAAAACCGGAAAAGACGTTATCGAAAGCCAAGAGTTTTTGGGGCTTGAATAAAGTCGTCAAGGGCAGGACCAAGGGGTGATCATCCTGTTCGTTCTTAGTTGCATTGCATTTCAGGGTTGGTTCCGACTGCTTGGAACGATCATTTAAAAAAATTGGTGGGTCAGGGGTGTGGTGATTGAGAAGGCGCTGGGGAAGATATTTATTGGTGAGATGATACATAGATACATCATCATGTATATGGTCGTGCCATGGTGATTTATTGTACGTTAGATTGCTGTTGTGTGTTGTTTGCCGCGCGCGAAGACTGCATATGCACGATACTGCTCCTTAGGTTTTGCATATACACACTCAATATGTATTTTTCACAAACAAGCGCTCCTAGATTTCGAAATCTAATATCTTCGTCTGATCTTTGGAGAGCTTATGTGCGTGTGTGTAACTGGATCTTATCGTACGCGTGCAGGTTTTTTGGGGAAAAGTAAGCCAATCATTATTCTTACATGCATATCAGCATGCATGTCAAGAAGTATCTTCACACATAACATAATATATAGTGCGCTATATCCTACAACATCCTGCATCTTATTCTCGATTCAGCTGGTAGGATATTAGATCTAAGCTTTCGCATTTTATGCTTCTCACTGCCTTTTTTCTCGCTGAGTAGATAACTTATAATCGTACGAATTTAGTGTGATGTATATAAAACTACTTGTTCATACGTTGGAACTCGACACAGCCAAGACTTAGGGAAGAACCTTGAGCTTACCGTGATACGTAAACTAATGATTCCACAAGGAGATTATTCCTCACAATCAACATTTTATTCATTTGTTTCATATGATAAGCAATTTCCAATCTAATCTACCAGGATCGGCTTTGTCCTTCTTCCTTTCTCCGAATCTCTCTTCGAGTTCTGACGATAACTTTTTCTGTGAGGCAGTCACAAGACTAAATGTTGGACGCCGAATGTATCATATCAGACTAGATCACACGTATCATGTATTAACAATCTTTTTCGCCCTCATCGTCCCGTCAATATCCATAACCAATGTATCTACACGACGAACCCGAACCATACGATATTAAGGTCCGAGAGCTTCACTCATCCAGCTATCCATTCATCTACTCCCCTATATCGTCTATATCGGCCCAACAATCTCCTATCCAGTCAAAGTCCACATAACTACTACTTCGCCACTAAGAATCGACAGTTGCATCCCTAGAAAGAATTTGCTCACAAATCACAAACCGTCTATCTACGCCCCCAAGCCTCAAGATTGCCGTCCTGCACACGGGCTGGGTTAAGACAACGGTTCATGTGCCTTTAGCCTATCTTTCCTTTCTAGGTTTTGTCTCGACTGTAGACATGCGGATTGGGATGTAAGATAAGCATCAGCTATACAGGCTTTGGGTTGGAAGTTGAAGAAATGGGATGGGGCTATGTGATTGGTATATGTGACTACCATCAATCACACACTTCCCGTGGAGAAAAACTCGTATGGCTTGGGAGACTTGGATCATCATGTTATCGTGGAGTCATGATATGTGCATTGTGGATGTACGGTGTGATTTGCAAATTGGGTTGGGATCGGGGTAAGCTTATGGTGGTATCAATATATATTCAGGTGGTAATATTCATGAAGATCCATGTCTGTTCACCGGTATATCGAGAGTTGGAGTCCCTACCCAATCGCTCGGTCCTGGTGATACCAGATTGGGAAATGTACACATGGTGGGCAACACATGATGCGAGAAGTGCTGAGGTAGAAAGTCGAGATGCATAAAGAATGATGTTTCAATAATTTGCATGGGGTAATGGGGTGATGATTGGGAGTTTTTCCGCAGCAGAACGTTCTGGAGGTTTGGCGAATCTTTTGTCGTGAGGTTGGGAAATGGCCAAGATGGCTAAAACTTGTTGATACTGCAGGAGGAAGAGTTAGACTCGGGAGATTTGCGAAGAGGTGTGCTCGGGAGATGCAAGTCGGGAGATGGATTGGGGTTTACCCCGCATTCTGTCACATTGTCATCACATGGCTATCACATTTTTGCTATGCAATAATTCTTGGATGCAGGGTGAGAATGATCATCACTGGGGGTTATTCTAGGTATGATGTTCACCGCATGATAAAATCACGATTATCTGGTGGTACTACATAGAGTCTCCATGTGGAAAGAGGTAGCATACCCAATCACCCAAGTATCCGAATGAAAGCCATATTACATCCGAGCTGATATCTCGAAAACAGATCATAAGATGAATATCGAATGAGATGCAGAGACATTTACATTTGTAACGAACCAAGGAGTTGTAATCACAGTCAAAAATGCTTTTTCTTGATATCGAATATCAAATATCGAATATCGAAGGGAATACCTCAACGTAGTCATCCAATTTTTGTATCTAAAATTGTGAAAATCATGTATTTACTCATTGATTGTCGTGCAAATGTAGACCTAGGTTTTAGCTAGCTAACTATTGTAAGATAACCCACTTGATGAACCAGTCACCATGAAATGATAAAAGCCATCCTGATTTCATACCTACGCTGAAAACAGTGTGTAAAAATGCAACGCCAGAGCAAGAATGAGTCCTTCAAAGTGAGGCCCATGAGCAAATCGTGAAAATATCCTCTGATCCTTCCATCCATAAAACGCCCTGCAAAATACCACAAAGATCCTCCCAACCCCAATGCTTCAAGCACTTTCAAACAAGCATAATGGCGCATAAGGCCATAGCGATTACGGCAAATGCTGGAATACTCAAGCCTGTACCAGCGTTGCATTCTTGGTTTTGGTAAGGTGAAGAACCGCAGTCATTTTGTCGTGCTGCTAGGAGCTCAGCTTCAGCGCGATTGTTGAGTTCTACAAGGTTGATGGGGGAATCTTGTCGCTTCTCAGGAAATTGGATAAGATTGATGCGAGCATCTTGGGCGTTGCGAGAGCGGATAGATCTATACTTTGTGGTTTCGCAGTTTCTCAGTTCGACAGGATTGATTGGTGCATCTTGACGCTTTTCGGTGAGTTGAGCAAGATTAGCTGGGCTGTCGCGCTTTGGAAGTTGAATCAAATCAATTGGACCATCGCGCTTCTCACTGAAAAATCAATGGAGTCAGCAATTGCTCAGCTTGAGAACTCCTCAGAGGAGTGAGAGGAATACATCTGTATTTTTGTTATCAAGAATGGAGATTGCGACTTATCATGTATTTGAAGCACGAAGTTGGCACTCAAGATTGTGAAATGAAACTCATTGTAGGCACTTACGGAAGTTGAATAAGATCGATAGGGCCATCACGCTTGTTACTAAGCTCAACAAGATTGATTGGAACGTCTTGAGCAGCACGAGCGTACTCAACCGCTGCGCCCATTGGAGTAGTAACCGGAGTTGGTGCAGCAAAGCTTAGGGTAGCAAAAGTGAGGAAGGAGAGCTTCATGATGCTCGAGATATGCATTTTGACGGTAGGGTTCTTGAAGATTTGATTATGCAATATGATATCAAAGTATTTGTAGAGCACGTAGTACTGTTAGATATGTATTGGGTTCGACGAGTTGTTGTTGTATTCTTGTTGTTCTAAGACGGGAGTTAAAGTAGGGAGATTTGGAAAAGACTTGTATGAAAGATGAGAAGCTAGTTATGGTTTGAAGATCGGAATGATAGTTGATGATATTAAGCTGATTGGGAAGAATTGCGGACAGAGGGTTGCCAACAAGGTAGATGCTGAGGATAGGACCAGTGGTGGTAGTGAGTATTGTGCGATACGTCAAAGTAAATAGGGAACAAGGTCCCGAGAAATTGTTTCCAATATCAGCTCACCGTCAGTATAAGGAGAATGAACCAAGATATAACTTTACAACAGGCCATTGGTCGATACTCTATCATTGTCTCACCTGTTTATATTCACATTAAGCCTATATCCTGATAAAATCCACAACCTTCAAGCAGCGTTTGTAATCAGATTCACAGAAGTCTATCAAAACAGCAACTAGCAGTACATTCACTCGAATGTTGTCGAATGATTCACAACGATGCATCAAGAGAGCGCAATGAGGGCATGGAATCGCCCGTAAAAGTATCAAAGGATATTTCTTATTCACAACCTAGGCGTCTCGGGAAGATGCCGAAAATGGTGAAACTAACGCCCTCTGCTATATTCGCCAGATATCAATCTATTCGACCAAGCTAAAGAGATGTAGAAAATTTGCTGGGACATGCGCGTTACTCGGTTTGACAACATCTCGTCGTGCGCCGAGTCTTGCGTGGCAAGTTCATAGAATCAAACGACCAGTATTATCATTCAATCTCATTTCGCAGTTTCCTACAATACAATTTCCATCGATCAGATGGTCTCAAAATGAAATGAACACCATACGCCGCCGAATCGACCCCAAAATTCTATACCTAACTCATATATACCAGTGCTGATCGCCAATTGTTTACTAAGAGAGAGTAATAGCACCTCTTCGATTGTCGCGGAAATGTAGGTAAGCTTGGAAACCGCAACCGACGATGAAAACCTATTGATGGACACACACATACATTAGCTACGGAATTGCGGATGAATGGGAAGGATTTATGACTGTCTGAACAGGAATCATTGAGACCTTCAATAAAACATACCGCATAGACAACAACAGCAGAAAAGACCGTAGCGGCGACCGCAGCCCCGTCTTCGGGGTCCTCCTTACCACCCAACAGTGCGTGGTTGTTGCTCTTAAAGAGAGAGCCGATGATAGAGAGGATGATGACGGCAAATACTGAGATGACGATGCTACAGCACTAGTTAGAAATTGATAAAAAACAAAGGCTAGGCAGTGATCAATCGGGGCACGAACCAAGACCAAGCTTGCATTACTCCTACGACGGGCTTCATCTTGGTGGTGGTGAAGCTTTTGTTACGAGCGAATAGATGCGAATAGAGAGGAGTGAACTTTGTGAGGTTCGTGATAAGGGTGCGCGAGTCTGAAGTTGGTAGTTGGTGGTTGATGGATGGACCTGAATTGAAAGTGTCGTCGAAAGTCGGCAAGTCGGAGCTTAGAGGTAAGTCTTGGCACTCAACTCCTCGCGAAGCTTTAGACTTCAGTATTCTGTTCTTGCAAGACTAATAACTACTAGCTATACTAGCTATATCAAATTGATCAAAAGTCTATTCCCACTCTATGAGTCCGATGATGTAATAACAATCTAAGTTTTAAGCTTCCTTGTTCTTTACATTTCAGATTATCGACAATGAGCTTCTATGATGGTCATTTGTCATCCATCACGAGGGGGTATCCAAATGCGGTCCTAAATTTTGGTTGCAGAGCCAAATTTCGAGGCTTTCGAATGGCCATGTCCTCGTGATATTTTTCATTAGAAAATTCTACGTCTGTCTTGTCAAGCATGATGATTCAGTTGTTCTACATACTATCACAGTTTCTCAGTCTTTTCTACTTTCACTGCAATTAGCACAAAGGCATCATTTTACCATTCCAGTATCAGATAGTCGAAGACACTACTTTACTTTATACAGGAATGCTACAGGGTGCAAATTTACCAATTGATCCCGATTGGCCTTGAAATCTTAGGGACACCATGCCACATGAAATTTCAGGTCGGACTGTGAGGACAATCCTGTCTGAACAGGAGTAGATCACGCAACCACAGCTTGAACTCAGTCGTACAGTTGTCATCTATACATCAGATGTCTAGCTCATAGATCGCTGGTCTACGTTACTTTATTCGAAACTGATGAGACGAAGTCCCATCGCATCGTGTTGTGGAAAGAATATGCCAACATGCTATACTCTCGACAACGATTCAGTTGGCCCCTTTCTCATTTCCAGTAAAGAGGTCGATGCTGTGAACGTCACCAATTGTTGTTTATATATTTAGACAATATCATCCATCGCCTACCTGTGCATAAATGGTCTGATTTGTTTGGATAAACAACATCTGCAGATCTTGGCCAAGCTTCTGTCAAAAATCTCAAATTGACGGACACTGACTTATCAAAAGCTTGACTCACAAACCATTGCTGGAACGGACGGATGCCAAGGATTCCGTGGTATATCGCTCGTATCTTGCAATTCGCTCAGATGGAGAGTTTGTTTATGAAACGCCGCCTGTGTGCTGTTGTATCGAAAAGCTAATGGTGGGTGGACTCGGCAATAACCTAGCCGGTATCTTCGGAGCTTTCCATGGGCTGAATTTTGGTGAATCCTGATTGCTTGATGCGAATATGCGATAAAGTCCAGCGCCCATTCGTCCTCGGTATTGGCGACGGCGTTAACGACATGCGGCCGTCTACTATCAATATACTTAGTACTGCGCCTCTTTCATCTAGCACATTTGCTGACACTGGTACCATCACGGGCCACAGACAGCCAACGGATGTCATAACTATAGAATTTGTGAAACGAAACATTGAGATGGAGCTAATAGAATGCTTGGAGAAATTGAAGAGTAGCGCGCGGTACTTTCAAACACAAGGTATTCCAATTTACTTTCCATATCATTAGGATCAACTATCATTCTCTTCTGGCTTAGAAACCAGCATCCAGCGATCCTGCCAACCATCAAAGCGTTCCCTTAATCCTCGTGCTCCCGAAAAGAGTTCCGAATGATTGGCGCAAGGTTTTAAACGCTCGGATTTCAGGGGTTTCATCGACCAAACGAAAAGCTTAACCAATTAACCTTAGCGAGTTAGCTTTACCCCAAATCTCGACATATTGTATCCATGTCTCAAATATTTTTTCAACCGTAGATGAACCATGGAGTAACATGTCATGATACTATTGGATACCAGCAGGAAGAAATTCAAGTGTTCTTTTAATTTGCATCAACATTGGCACGAAATGAATATGATTGCCTGCAGCGAATTGGTGATACGTATCGCCGATATTTCGATCCTGGCTAGTAGTCAACCTTATTTCTATCACTCCCAATCTATTTGATATGGTGATCAATTTCAGAAGAATCAAGGCTAGGAGGTCGTAGCAACCAAAGGATGAAACAAGCAGAATCTGCAAAAAAAATCGAAGTAATTCCCATACTATCTACCTCCACCGAATTGAAACAGCCTTGCTATATTGATTCTGATGTACCGGTCCCGATCGTCTTTGCTAATCAAAAAAGAAGTGGTGAGAACGGCCATGGCTTTCGGGCCACAATCAAAGTGTTTGAATTGCGTACAACTTCAACCCACTATTTCCAACGCTTGTACCTGCAGATATGCCAACGATTTGCTGGATAAAGGATGGCGCAGCAATTTCCTGCAGAGGATATGCACCTTCAAAAGCTTTGTGGAACGGTAGGGTAATGTTTGTCAAGGCTACCTAATCCACTATCCAAATTTGATCTTTATAGAGTGAATCCTTGGGATGGCACGATCGATCCACAGTCTATGATTCATAAACCTTGGTTTCCTCCCCTCTTCAAAAAAACTCAGTTACTTATCTACTACCTTCGTTCTTCAGAATCATAATCCTTCACATAATTTCTTCAATACTCTCTTGAGTAGTGGAACACTTTCGCTTTGGACACCATTCACATCTAACGTCACTTCCCTCTTAATGTGGGTCTTTATTTACACGCGAAAGCTTCTATAACTTAAGTACTGACCTTTCTTCTTCAGTTCAACACTTTCCATTAAGAAAGTTTCCAGGTCATTTAAAAGTTTTACATATACTCAAATCCCTACTCGCCATCAAGATGCAATCAAAAATGATTTCATCAGTTCTTGTAACTGCACTCCTCAGTCTTGCGCAAGCGCAAACAACAACCTTCCCAATAACCGGTACCTTGGGCAACGCGACCATTCCTGAAAACAATCCAGTCGGTCCAATCTACGTCGCAACACTTCCAGACATGGAGTTTTTTAACCCTGATGACCCACGCGGTAACATCAAGGGATCTGTCTCCGCAACTGCCAACCCTGATGGCATCGGTGTTCAATTCCAAGTCCAATTCTCTAACCTCCCCACCAGTGGTGGACCATTCGGTAAGTACTTCGCATGGTTAGCCATCTTCTCACTTCCCCTCGCTAACACCAACTTCAGTCTATCATCTCCACGCCCATCCCGTTCCATCAGACGGAAACTGCACCGGTACCCTCGGCCATCTCGACCCTTTTCTCCGCGGCGAAACTCCCGCTTGCAACTCCTCCCTCCCCCAAACCTGTCAAGTGGGCGATCTCTCAGGCAAACACGGCAAAGTCACTTCAGATCCCTTTCAAGCCTCTTACGTCGACGAGTTTGCTTCAACACTCGAGGGCTTGGGTAGTTTCTTCGGTAATCGCTCATTGACTGTTCATTTCGGAAACACTACGCGAATCACCTGTGCAAACTTTACCTTGTTGGATGGTGTTGTAGGAGGTGATTACGAAGGAAGTGCGAACAGCACAAGAGATGGAGCAAATGGAACTGCTACCAGCACTGGAGGACCTGCACAATTCACCGGCGCGGCTGGAAAGATCAGTGTTCAGAGCAGTTTGATAGCTATCATGGGTGCTGTTTTGGTGTTCGCGCTCTGAGCAGATGATATCCACATTGATATTTCAAAACAAAAATGATGACGATAATATGGGGGAAAAGAGAGACGTGGAGTTTTTGGCGTTCAAGATATCCATCATACCCGGCACAAGGCCTGCTTAATAACTGCAATAATGGAAGAAATGGTTATTTTACAGAGGTAATTGCGAACTGGAGTGGTTAGATAATAGAGAGATAGCTGCCTGCTAATTAGGTGGTGATGTGTGTATAATTCATAAACGTATTGGCTTTGATGTATCTGGTATCCTGCGCTTGAGAATGCAAACATTTTGAGAGAAAATTTGGAGGTATGGATACTTGTCGTATGTCGGAGTAGATTGTATCTACAAAACTACATCTTCCGCATGCCCAGGTGCCATTCGAGTCTTCGAGATTTTTCAAATACTCTTCTTATATATAGCACAAGCATCACCCATCACCATTTGCGCATTTCAAACCTCAAACCTATCCACATCTCTTCCTAAATATATCCACCAAAGTCCCGAATCCCACATCATTACACTCTCTGTCCCCTCCCCATCACCCGCCAAGCATTTTCTCCCTCCCTCTCTCCCACTTCTTCTCGAAGCAAACATTCCCTTCTACGCACTCTACACATTCTGTCTAAACATAAACATAAACATAAACATCCGAAGTCAAGTTTCTTAGCCATCTTGGCAATCTCCAACTCTTTACATTTCTTATCATGCCTATCCCTGTCCTTTATTGAACTCTACGATTTCGTGGAAAAGACGGATAGATAGTTTGTTTCGAATCTTGGTATTAGGTATCCGTGCTGAATTGAATCTGGATACTAATGTATTTTTGTTCTACTTTTTTTTCGTCTCTGGTTGATTCCTGGGGGAGAGACAAATAAAAATTGGAAGGAGTAGTAGAGAGAGGGATATGGTAGTTTGATAAATTTTGGGAGGAGTTGGGCTGGGAGAAGTTGGTATTCGTACAAGTGTATATCTGAAAAAATTCAAGTTCTTCCTCGCATCAAACACTCAGTCAGATGCATTCAGGAATCAAAAAATTCCTCAATTTGAGATTATTGCGGAAACATGTGATTTTGTTAACAATGATAATGAGAATGTATATAGAAATAAAATGCACCGTTTACTTTGATGGCTGGAATATGAAGGATGAGAGGAGTGCTTTGGTCTATTTCTCTAGAGGGAAGATGTTATGATCTATGATTTCTGGGAGAAGTTCTGGCTGCGCTTTAACTATGTCTCTTGGGGATATAGATGATTGGTATATCGAGGTATTGAGGTATATGGCATAAGTATATATTCAGTCAATGTCCTACCTTCTTGACCTGATACGTATGACGGTGACATGTTTAAGAAAATGAGGATTTCTTTTCCGTAGACAATATATATACGAAGATGATGTGAATTCCACGGAAAACAAGAATTTTATTAGGTACTATGACAATCCTAGTACAAGAAGATCTTCGTGACAGGAACATTCGATGACTGGATTGAGACTACTGTACAAAATAACTGTTTTCAACATAAGAAATCAAATCAACCTATCAAAACACCCTCCAATTCTCCCTCCAATTTCCCCACCTCTCCCTTTCTCCTAAAGTCCGACCACGACCGAAGATTAAATATTAATTGGGTTTGTATTTATATATAGTTCAAACTTCCATTACCCATATCAAATCCAAAATGTAAAGTGAAGTTAGAAAACACAACTTAGCGACTAGCAGTATTCTCTTTCTCAACCAGATGAACCGCTTCCTCTTGCTTACTCTGAGTCCTCTGACTCAAGACTCCTTGTGCAGCCTCGACATCCGCTCCAGTGGACCCAGCACCCATAACACCATTACCATTCTTTGTCCACTCGGGACTATGTCTTGGGTCTCTGGCGCGAGGATCCGCACACATACGATCAATTGATTCCAAAGACTGTCCCTTAGTTTCATAGATGAAGACGTAAGCGAACAAAGCAGATAGGAACCCGGTAGCTCCGAAAATGAAAAAGACTTTGGCCTTCAAATTCGCATTTTCTTCGCCCACCAGATATGGGGTGACGAATGCGATGATGAAGTTCCAAAACCAATTCGAGGCGGTACTGAGAGCAACTCCACGACCACGAAGAGCCAATGGAAACATCTCGCCAGATACTGCCCAGGCGGTAGGACCCCAAGTGCTGGCAAAGAAGAAGATGTGGACTAAGACGAAGACGAAGAGAACCCACTGAGCGGCTTTGCTCTCGGTGAGCACGGTGCCGACAATGGCGATGATAAATTCGCAAATAGACATGAAGATGCCACCATAGATAAGAAGAGGACGTCTGCCGAATCTTTCAATAGTCCAGAAAGAGATGGGAGTCGAGGCAACGTTTACTGTGCTGTGTTAGTTCACTTCTTGAGGATTGTCGGTGGTTGTACTTCACTCACCAATGTTTGTAATGGTAGCCAAGAGGAAGACACTGGTTAGTCCAACTTGTGCGAAATACGTTGTACCATAGTAGAAGATGAAATTTACACCAGCTATAATAAGGGTCAGTAACGTTTTAAAATCATATTTAAGGTAGAGGGAGAAAGCTTACTTAATTGTTGCATCATTTGCACCATTGTACCGATGAAAGTTCTATAAAGATTGCTTCCGCGATGGAAACCTCCTGCAAAGAGGTCTTTCCATGCACCGTTACCATTTGCGCGCTCGATCCTAGTATCCTCAATCATAACCGCATATTCTCTTTCGAGATATACGTTGCCATCAGCGCGTCCACGCAATCTCTTCAAAGCTGCCTTGGCCTCTTCCTCTCTGCCCTTGGAGAGATACCATCTTGGGGATTCAGGGAGAATAAGGATCAAGCCGATGAAAAGAAAACCTGCAAAGACAAACTGCAACCCAATTGGAATTTGGAATGAGGCGTTACTTCGGATATCTTTGGTACCTTGATTGACTCCTGAAGCGATGAGAAGACCGATTGTAATACCAAATTGATAGACACTGATACAGGCACCTCGAATCTTCTGGGGGCAAATCTCGGTTTGGAAAGCAATGATATTGGCAGACACAAAACCGATACCAAAACCAGCGATAGCACGGCCAGCAGCCAGCATACCAATAACAGGATAAGCAACTTGAAGAACGACACCGGCACAGTAGATAGCGCAACCGATGAGGATAGTGTTACGACGTCCCCATCGGTCAGACGAGTAGCCAGAGGCAAGGGCACCGAGGAATGTGCCGACGGAAAGTAAGGAAACTATGACAGATTTGCCCCATGTAGGATACATATAGCCCATGTAGCCCAACGGATCAGTCGAGGGCTCGCCATAAGCCAATTTGAAGTAATCCACTATTATTGAGAGGTGGTTAACATGTGTACACAAATAGATAGAAGATCAGAATGAACTTACTCCCAAGGCAGCCGTTGATGTAACCAGCATCGTAACCGAAGAGGAAACCACCAGTGGCAGGGAAAGAACATCTGAGTTTTTCCGTGAAAGAAATAGGAGGGTTGTCATGCGGGTGGACATCTTTGTCCTCGTTCGATTTATTGGTTGCCATGTTTAGAATATGTTGAAGATATTAATTTCAAGTGAAATACAGAACGGATCGAGTGGAAGAGGAGATGCTCAGACTATATAGCCATTGAAATGCGGAGATACCCCAGATTGCTAATTTATTTAATGCCATATTGCCCACTTTATCTTCATGACGTGCAGAATAAATGCATGACCTTGATGGTTCGATGAGTGATGGATAACTTTGAATCTGAAGTAGTTCTCCCCACTTGGGGAAGCTCTAAGTTGATGTTTTGCATAGCACTATGTCTCTTATTGGTTAGCTCTAAGAGACAGTATTTTCGGTCATTGTCTTGGCTCTTTTCTTGGTGGAGGATTAGCTATAACAGTAGTGCCAAATGTGGGCTATCAGATTAGAATTAGCTGCTGGTCTATTACCTAGAGCTCAACCCCAACGCTAGTTTTTAAATCTCCAAGTCAAAGAAATGGCTCGATCTACTCCGCATACCCCAGAGAGTTCCGCTCATTACCAGACTCACATCTACATTGCTAACCTTCCTGTAATGTATGATATGCTTTGAGACCTATCAATATGTTTCGCAAAAATACACAGACATGACAGCTATACAAAATTTTCATCGCAACTCATATTGGTTGTCTTAAAGATACGCCACAACCGTTGGCACTAGCCAAGGCGGGGAAAGTTCAGCATGAGCTAAAACGATCGACTTCTGTCAACTGAGTTTAAAGCTAAATGGTTTACAATCTAAGCCTCGATAGTTCATAAGCCAAGGGTTTCAATAAGAATCTATTAGCAGAAAATAACACTTGGTCGAACAGCAAAAGTCACATGCGTAGACCGGTAGACAAGTGTAATTGAGCTTTTGCATTACTAATTTTCAGTCCAGTGGACGAGTATGATTAGAATGGACAAGAAGATGCATATGGTTAGTAACACCGTCATAGAATAGGTCTGACTGATCCTTGGTACTATGAATCATTTCGATATCCATTTGTAGCATTTCACCCAGATCAACACCAATTCCTACAATAACAGATATAGCAACCAAGAAGGGAAAGAAAAAGATGTGTATGCTGTGGTATCTATGCGATAAAAGATGAAATCAAAAGAGGTATATCCAATTACTATACAAAGAAAAGGCACTGTGGTTCAAATGCTCACAAACGCAAACCAAAAATTCTCCCCCCCTTCCCAAGGAATGACTAAAGAAAAAGGCTCTGGGTAGCTGAAAAATCATATGGAGCAGGATAATTTCCATTCATCATTGGCGGCCGTAATATTGCATGTTTTGAGGAGAATGTTGTAAGTTTTGAGGTGATTGACCATAGGAGGAAGAGCTACCCTGGGCAGTCGTACGACTCATGGGCACTTGCTGAAAGCTGGTCATGGGATCGACACTCAAAGAATCAAAGCCAAATGTATTTTGATCCATCATATATGTTGAAACTGGAGGGGAAGTCGTGACGAAAGGTTGGTTCATTGAGAAAGCGATAGCGGAGTGAGGTGTCTGATTGAAATTCTGATTGGGTTGAGATTGAAAAGAATTGGGACCGATTGAAGCAAAGGCAGAATGAGGTGGATGATCAACCTTGTTTTGGATGAAGCTACCGGTAGTGTCGATAGTCCCAAAAGCTGAGTGGGGTTGATCAATCTTATTGCTCACAAAGCCGGTATTAATATATGATGGCGTAGGATGATGCATATTGTTAAGGTTAGCAGAGTTCATTGAGCCAGATTGTCGCGGTTGGTTTGTTCGCTGAGCACTATATGCATTGACATTGGCATTGGCATTGGCATTGGCGTTGGAAAATAGTGGAAATTGTTCACTTGGGTTTCCTTGCGTCATTGGGGTGTGTGTCATTGAGTTTCCCATGACATACGTTGGTGAAGGGCCAGA